TAAGAAAGCTCCTCCCTTAACACTGGGAATAACCCCCCTAATACAGGTAGGAGAGCAGCTGAGACAAAGGTTCAAGATGCATCTCCTCAGAGCCCTGTGACCCCACGGCTGTGTTTCAAGTAGTCACGGCTGTTCCCATGGAGGTGAACGTTTTCTCACTGACCTCATGTTCCTGGGCCTGATCCTAAGTTCATTGCAGTCAAAGGACTTGCTCCTTTTCAGGCCACTGGATGTTGGATCCAGGTTCCCAATGTCAGCGTTGGAAAAGCAACCTCTGGCGCCAGATTAGAGTCTGTCAGACTCAAAGGGAGTCATGTACTGAAAGTTAGTGCCAGGCTTCTGCAAGATGCCTATTGCTTGTGTAGCCAAACCGCTGGCTCGCTCACACTGTGTTGCTCCTGTTTTTGACAGAGAAACTTAAACCACACAGAATTACATTGGATCCTCAGGATTTCCCCAGTTAATTCCAAAAAAAAGAAATACTTTGAACTTTACAGCCAGCACAGACTTTTTTTGTTGTTCTTTTAAACTCTCTCCAAGTTTCTATTGTATTAACTGGCACCACATAAAACCCCTCTGCTATTGAAAATGTCACCGCCACCTTCTTATGGCTCTTATACAAATTCCTTGCTTGACGTTTCAAAAAAATATCTGGGGAAAATTCATGGCTGGTATAACTCCAGTGCATGAGGGATGAACTCCACTCATTTACTGAAGGGGCCAGTAGCAGAGATTTGAATTACACCCTTCCTCTCTCACTTCCCCTTCCCCTCAACTCCCTGTGAAGTTTGAAACTTGTTAATTCATCATCTTGTCTCTCTGAAACCTATCCCCATGTTTTTCAATCATACGGGGCCTGATTTTTCATCACTTTGCATGGAGCCGTTTATATTATGATGATTGCAAAGTTCATAAGCCTGATCCAAAGTACGTGGAAGTCAGCAATAAGTGACTTCTAGACTGCAAGGGGCAATAAGTCAGGCTCAAACTGTGGTTGTGCCTACAGTTCACAGCCAGCTTGGGTCCCATTGTACAAGGTGCTGTGCAGGCATGCTTGTGAGATACTACCAGATCAGAGGGGTAGCATTATTCTACTTTGCACAGGGGCCAGGGAACTATATAAGGGGAAGGCACAGGGGTAGGGAAAAATCAAGCCCCAGGCTTTCTTCTATTGTACTGTACATCATGAGGAAAATAGATCAGGTTAATTCTTTGGAAAATGTGGTCTCTCTCAAAAGAGCAAAGAGCTAGCTACAGAAGTGCTGGGTACTCAGTTTGCTGCAGAATTCAATGCCCAGGTTTCCTGGCTTCTCTTCCTAGCAGAGCTCCATATGTGGTGCCATGGAGCTTGGTATTGAGTAGTACTAAGCATCTGCCACTCTCACTGAAGTCATCAGGACTGGTGGGTGCTGACTGCCTTTCAGAGTCAGGCCTGGATCCAAGAGAGGCCAAGTCTGACTCATTTAGCAGCTAACCGTGTTCCAACAGAGCTGACTCTGGAGGTATCATTGAAGAAAGCTAGGGCTAGCAGTTCAAACAATTAACTGGGAAGCAAGAGATTTAGATCCTAGCTTCTGCTCCACCCCAGCCTTCCCAAGGGATGTCCCTGCGTAGTCTCACTTTGCACTTTAGGTGTACAAGATTAACATCTGGGGCAGGGGGCTGGACTCGAAGGGGTTGGGCTCGAAGATCTTCCCAGGTCCCTTCCAACCCTAATCTCTATGAAATCTGGATTCTGGTGTCTGCCCTATTCAGACTCTAAACAGCTTGGGTCAAGGAGCATGATTCTGCTTCTTCACCGAATGCACTGGAGGAAGCTTAAAAATGTCCCAGATCTGGGAATCTAAACCCCATTGGCACAAAGGAAGTATCATAGTTAGGACCTGACATTTGCTACTAGCACATTGTCCCCCCTGCTCATCTGTCCCTTCCCCCCCAACTCCTGTCTTGCCTGTTAGATCCTCAGTTCTTGTGTGCTTGTGCCATGCCTCACACAACTGGACTCCATGTGTGATCAGCCCCCAGGCACTGTAATGAATGTAGTCAATAAATAATAGCAGAGGTCAATGTCAATGGGATTTAGGTCCCTGAATTACTGGTGTTCTTTTGAAAACATTACCCTTATTATTATGCAGTGATATTATGGTGTCTCTCTGGTAGCTCACCTGTTCCTTACCTGTGAACAACCTACCTTACAGTGGGTGGTGAAGCTGAAGTCTGAAAAATTGCATGAAAACCCTTGGGTTCTAGGCACTAAGGAAAAAAACAAAGCATTAATCTTGTCTTGTTGTGATAAAAGAAAATAGGGGTTTTTTTCCTTCCTTCACTCAGTTATTTCCCCCATTTTCAACATTTAGGCTTGAACATCATTATACATAATGGTCTATCCTGCGATAAGGTCTACAGATCAGATTTATTTCTATAGGATATGATGTTGCATTGTAAAATGCCAGAGTAATGGACTCAGCTGGTCAAGACAACATCATGAGTTACCTGCATCATACTCCAAACACGGTGCATTATGTGAACAACACTTGGAGATATTTTTCTTGGTCTGAAGTTGGCATTCTCACGTGCCCCAAAGTCACGGGTGGTTGCGTGTGCACAACTGCTGGGTGCAGTCATTAATGCCCATTGGATGGCTGGGTTACACTGCGTCCAAGGAGGAACACAAATCAAGGTTTTGTTTCACACTGACACTGGCTGCCAACACAGCATAAGATGGCATCTTCTTCGACGGAGGTCTGAGTTTGAATGAATCCTGATGATTTTTAAGGCACATTCAGAACAAAATATCTTTATAAAGTTTCTTTTTAAAAGACAAAGGGATTTAGACCTTGGCCAAAGTTCCCCACACTCACCTTTTACATATCTGCCCTGGCATCGAAAGTTAGGGTCGACACTGGACTGCAGCTCCTCTCAGGTTTCCAAGGCCTCGTGTAATTAAGCATTATATTTTGTTTGTGGAACACATCAACAAGAGTTCAGTTAACAAGCAACCTCAATAATCAGGCTCTGGCACACAGAAAACTTAATCTCTGCTGTATTTTTAGTGCTTTTCTACCTAGGAATCTCATGTCAGCTGAGAAAAAGCCAGAAATCTGAGCACACACTGAGATCACTTCCTAGATTTATCCTTAAGTAATTAGCATGACACCCAGTAACTCAAGAGACTACCAGCAGCCTAGTCTCAGATCATGGGTGGCTGTCAATTGAAAACATTCGCAGAGTGATTTGCATTCAGCACTGCTAAAAGAATTTCCTGAACCAAAGTGCGTGGGTTCAGATTTTCACTGTAGGCACCTTTTCACAACAGAGGGGCAGAAAGAGAGAAAGTATGACCAGAAAAGGTTTTCACCACTTGTAAACAGAAACAGGTATGTACTAGCATGAAATTTAATCACTGGGCACGAAAATCAATCAATCACGCCTCTGTTTGCTAATTAAATGGCATTAAAATCTAGTGCTCTGGGTACTGCACATGTTCTGAGCACCTTGGAGAAGCCATTGCTTTGACTGACATTCAGTCAAGTGTGAGCTAAGACCAAAGCATTGCTTTCTAGTTTGCCTTTGGGTCTAAATGCACATATTTGATTTAGCAACGCACTTGGGCTGCTTGACAGGCCAACAGATTTATACAACACCAGCTGCTTCTATATTAGATGTTGCACATCGTTAAAATTAGAAATTAGATGGATCGGATTTCCTAGGGGGGATTCTGCTCACCAGCCCACTTCGACCTCTGCATGGACTCTCAACAACAGTAGACTTATCTCTTGGCCAATATTCAGTAGCAGCTATTCAATTATAGCCCAAAAAGTCACTTTTGTTTGTTGAACTGATTGTACGTTTTGCTGAAATGTAAGTTGCAGCATGGATGGCCACCCTAAAAGTCAGTGTTTTAGGGCCTAGAGAGCAATTAAAGTTTATGCTGGGTGAAGACTTGGCAAAACTGAATTGGATATCATTTTATTTGAAAATCCTCAATTTTAATTCCATTTTTATGCTATTGTATGTACTGGGACACTTTTTGGGGGTCAATCTAGTTTTGTGTTAAACAATTCTGGTTTTGAAATGTTATTTTTGGAATCTTCATTGAGAACTAAATCTTGGTGTCCAAAACAGGATTGATGAAAAGGGAAGGAAAAAAAGGAATATTCAAGTTTTCCAAATAAGAAAAGTAATTAGCATGACACCTATGCAAGTAATCCTTCTAACCGCTTTGTAACCAGTGCCTTAGCACTACATACATGTCTTGCAGGGACCAACTTTGATATTCTGTGCGTTTGCTCTCAGCTTTCCTGATTTCTCTAAGTTCTTTGGAGCAGAAACTGTTTCTTGTTACATCTTTGCTCAGTGATGAATGCAATTGGTCCCAGATGGGAACTTCTCAGCGGCATTTTAATATGCATAATGAGTGATTGTAACCCTTCAAAATGTATCATTCCTAACTGGTTTAGAGGATATGAGCTGTCAAGCCTGGATGCTCATTAAGTAACACACTTACAGCATTTTTAAGTCTCTGGTGTCAGCTCAAAATTGTGGTAGCTGATTTTATTTTGTATAACACTGGCTAATTATGAGCAATTAAAAGTGAGTGGTAACAGGCTCATTCTGTTTAAAGAGGACCTAAAGAGAGAATGATGGTGAGACTAGATCAGTGGTTTTCAATCTGCAATCCATAGACCCCTGGGGGTCCACAGAGTATGTCTAAGGGATCTGTGAAGGATGATCAATCAGGAGTATGTGAATACCCACACTTACAATTCAAAGGAGTCTGCACCTCCATTCAAAATTTCCAAACGGGTCCACAAATGAAAAAAAGGTAGAAAACCACTGGACTAAATACTTTGGTACAGGAGGAACTCTGCTCCTCTTAGGGATCAGCAACATGTGAAGCTAGCTTGAGGGACGGATTTTTCTCACCAGCTTCAGTGGGAACAGGATGGAGACATTTGGTTTTCACAGTAATGATCTGCCAGCAATGAGCTGGTCCTAAGTCACTCTGGGGAGCTTCACATTAACTGCAGCCTCTGAACAGGGGGAATTACAATGGCTGGATCTAGGGGAAGGTCCAAGGACTTGAAGTCCTACTGGCGATGGCCATGCAACATTTCTGGGGTCTTACCCTTGTCTTCCTTACTGCTGCCAATAGCCAGGATGTACATGCTTACTGCAGATTTGAAAGCCAGTATAACAACACTGGCTTTCAAAGCAGTCCCTACAGTGTCAATACATATAGGCACACTAGAACTGAGTGTAGGCCTGGCAGCAAGAAGACGTTGCAGTCAAATCCTGGCTCCAACATGGAGTCATTCCATGGCCTTTAGAGGAGCCAGGCCAGACCAAACTTCAAGCCACTTCCCGTTGCATTGGGGGCTATTCCTTCATGGACAGAGGGAAGCATTATCCCTCATGTGCACCTCAGCCATCATGATCAGCCAGGGTACATGCTCCTCTCCACAGAATAAATATGAAGCTGTGCTCCACCAGAAGCAACCAGACACCACTTCCCAGGCATCCCAAGGTAGGAAGGGACCAAACCCTGCCTTCCTCTTTTGTCAGATCCTGTTCTTCAAATCCCAAAGCTCATCTTCTCTAGAATGGTGGGATCAATTATACTAGGGGCAGGTGGGAGAATAGTTTCCCAAGCCTACCCTTTGATGCTGAAGGAAACTGTTTTACACAGCAGTCACCCTCAT